ATGAGAATCAGGTGAGATGTTGAAAACGTGCAAAGAATTATGTTTCTAGTGATAATTGCTGTTTTGGAGAAGGAAAAGGAACAGGAGGGGGGTTCTCTGACCATCCTGTGGAGAGGCGGTGTCACCGAATAGTTAAGAGATTGGGCTCTGGGTCCTGGTTTTGTGAGTTGGAATCCCCTGTTCTGCCACTTACTGGTTGTGTAGTCATGTGTTCTTGGAAAAGCTGTCCAACCTTTCTGGCCTCAGTGTCGCCACCTGTAAAATGGACATAATCATAATAATTAATATCTATGTTGCAGAGATAACTGTGAGGATGAATGAGTCCGTGTGTGCCAAGTGCACAAGGTGGTGCTGAGCACTGAGCAAGGACCATCTGTTATCTAATAGTGGATATGAATGAACACTTCAAGGGCTCGCATAATGGGGGTGATGGGAAGGAACAATAGGCTTAACTGGGAGTGATAATAACTATTGATGCAAGAACAGAGATGGATATTTCCCAATTCACAAAGTTTCAGATTTCCTTGGCAATTTTAAGTCTCCATTTAACTACACCTCTGTGTCTGGTGTGAGGAATTGGGAGAGAAGGGTGCCCATCTTAAATCCAGAGGCAATTTCATGTGGTTATTTGTTGTTGTTATTTTTGATCATCAAAAATAGCATATTAGATTTAAGCTATGTCGGTCTACTAAGTAGATAAATAAAGCAAATCTCATCTGTAAAATATTAGAATGGAAACCGTAGAAGCTGTCTCATCGAGTTTTTCACAAACCACTCAGCATGTCAGAAACACCTTTCTAAAAAACAAAACAGGGCGCCTGGGTGGCGCAGTCGGTTGAGAGTGCGACTTCAGCCAGGTCACGATCTCGCGGTCCGTGAGTTCGAGCCCCGCCTCGGGCTCTGGGCTGATGGCTCAGAGCCTGGAGCCTGTTTCCGATTCTGTGTCTCCCTCTCTCTCTGCCCCTCCCCCGTTCATGCTCTGTCTCTCTCTGTCCCAAAAATAAATAAACATTGAAAAAAAAATTAAAAAAAAATAAATAAAAAACAAAACAACAACAACAAAAACAGATTCTCAGGTTAGGCGTCTGAATACATTATCAGCGAGAAGGCCCAAGGATGTATATTATCATCTTTACAAGGCCTCAAGGTGTTTCTGATGATGGAACACCTCTGAGAATTTCTCATCCAGTCTAACCTCAGGAGCAGAACTGTGCCTTGAACCATGTCTCTGGGCTTTTGGTCCATAATCTCCTTTTCCCATCCTGTCCCCAAAAGTCACATAATGCACAGGTAGAGTATGGGGGCTTGGGCTGTGCTAGGAATAAATTAAGATACAGCATCAAAATTATGCAGGATCTCATATTTGAAAACGATTGGAAAATTCTAGGTGACATAAAAATGTAAAGTTACTTTTCCTTTAAAATCAAAATCTTCCTTGAAATGTGCATTAAAATCTCCTAAATTTCAACTGCAAGGATTGTGGGGATTGCGGTTAATAATCATCAATACCTTAGCCACAATTACAGGCAGCACTGCTTTAGTCAACACCTTTGACTTGCCAAACACAGGTATCTGTGTGTATGTTACACCCCCAATTTAGAGAATAACTCAGACACAGAAAGCTAGTGTGGGCTGGTGTGTCTTCAGAGTAACTGCAAATAGTATCTTCAAGGTTCTCTCATCATTTTGAAAACACATTTATTGTTTGGTGCAAGGAACAAAATGTTTGTCATAGCAACCATGGCAACCCCGGGTACTTGGCCTATTAGCTGTAATGCAGGAAACATCTTCAGCAGCAGGAAAGGAGTCCTTGGCAATTATCACCCAGATAACGTCCCTCTGTTTTAAGAGGGTTGGCTGAAGCTTCTGGGTTTGGAACATTTTTTAACTGTTTGTGCTAATGAAGGTGAACAGTAACAATTCCCTTTTGGTTAATTTCAGAGTGGCTTTGGCTCAGACAAAGTTGAAGAAATGTTTTAGCGTTAACTGTCCCTCTTTTGTTTTGGTTTGGGTTTTGGTCAGTCTTCTGTGATTGGATGCTCTGCAAGTTGACAAGGAGAATTCCTTGTCATTTAAGGCTCTGCACCATCAGCACAGAGTCCGACGCGGGGCTTGAACTCATGAACCGTGAGATCAGGACCTGAGCCGAAATCAAGAGTCAGATGCTTAACTGACTGAACCCCCCAGACACCCTTCTCTCTTCCATCCTTAACATACATTCTTATCATGAGTATGATGATAATAATTAAAATAAGTGAAGAAAAAAATCCTAAAGCATGACTAGGAAGTCTGGATAAAAGAGAAAATAGTTAAGGTTTGAGTATTTTGATTTTCAAACATAGTGATGGTCACCCAGCAAGTCACAAGTTCCATATTATACCAACAGCTGTCAAATTGTTGCATATATTCTTTATGCAATAAACCCCATAAATATGAATTATGTGAGTCTCAGTTTCTGTAAGAAAGATATGCTGATAAGAGAAAATATGTTACAGGCAAAAAGCATAAAAGGATGGAATCACTCATATTTTCATCACTCAGAAAAAATCACCATACAAATTCCTCTCCTATCACGTTTTAATACTGTTGAGATCATATAGTTTATACAGCTTTGCTTTTTTCACTTAAGAAGAAAGAGGCATCATGAAACGGACAGGAGGAGAAATTGAATGGAAATAACGAGCAGGTTCAGAATCACTTTAGACTTCTTTTGGAAATGTGAAAGATCTTCTTAAGCCTCCCTGTCAGTTGTGAGAAGTTGAAAGAGGGTATGTACTGGGGACTGTGGACGTGTTCGTGAAGACAGAGCTGGTTGATAAAAATGCAGCTCTGGGTCTGGCATCTCAGAATCTCTGCTCAAATGCCTCCTGCTTATTTATTGATTTTCTGGGCTTTTAGAAACTTTTTTTTTTCTTCTGCTACATATTAGCCTCAAAGAGCTATGATTAAACTCTGAGTGCCAGGTGTTCTAAACTTGCTGGATCTCAGTCTCCCTGACTATATTATGAGAATTGTGCCTTTTATCTCACAGGGTATTATGCATGTATTTAAAGTAGGCTGAACTGCAATATCAAATAAATTCCAATGTGCCACCAATGTCTCAAACAGCATAGATGTTTCGTTCTTGTTCATATTATAATATAGGGCAGGCGTTTAAGTAGACAGCTGCTTTCCTCCATGTGATGATACAGGAATCCAGTCTCTTTCCAAGCTGTCATTATGCCATCAGCTAGGGCCTTGGTGCCAACTGGATCCGTCAGTAGAAAGGGAAAACAAGTGGGGAAGAGATTTGTTGGCTTGCAAGGGGCACGTCTTCGTAGTCACATTTTTATTGGAGGGAACTATAGCCATGTATGTGGCTACAACTCTAATAGTGTAGAGAGCTGAAAAATGAAATTGAGCCTCACAACCACCACAGAAGAAGAGATAATGGATAGTAGGGAAGTCAGCCACATCTGCCACTGTATTCATGTCTTGCAAAATATATAATAAAATACATTCCACAGTAGATACTGAGAATGTTCCTTCTTTTCCTGTTTCTGCATTTCAACGCTTAAGAGTAGTAGCTATTTGTTAGGAGAAAATCAACCCACAACCTGTAGGATGTGCCTGTGACCAAAGTAGGCCCACCTCATGTCGTGTATCTCCTGTGTCTGCATGTCCGCACCCATCGATGACAGGCCCTCTGCACTGGGCAGCCAGGGCTCAGGAAAGTTCTCGGTTACCAAGGAGAAGTCCCATTGACTCCTTCCGAGATAGTGAGAAAGTAGACTGGGACATGACTAAAATGATTTTCAGTGACACAGGCTGAGCTCAAAAAGGAATTTATTGATTAAACCTTCTAAATTATAATTTTAACTAACTCCCCAACTCGATGCCCTGAGCAAGGTGCCTAACAGAGGTGTTGTTTTCATCTTGTCCCCACCCAAGGCGTACGCACTCTGCCATAGTTTCCACTCAGGATTCAGAAGGTCTGTGAACTCTTGGGTCAGTAAAAATGATTATTAACTTCTTTGTTCCTATGTGAAATGAAAATAGAAAACTGAGGCCACGGTCTTCCCACTAAGCAAGAGCTAATATTGATCTTCTGCAGAGTTCCAGGGTGTCAAATAATGAAATATTGGGCCCAAAGTCTTTTGTCACATGTAAGCATGTTCCTGTGTGTCAACTACTCTGAATCCCAAGAAGATCCAGAAACACAGCCCACTCTGATGTCCTTCTGAGATTTTGCATATGATGTTCCCTTGGCCTGGCCGATCTCTCCAATGTTTCCTCTAGTTAACCTTGTTTGCCTGCAAAACGGTTATATTTGCTTCAGGTTTAAGCTCCACCATCCCTGTCTATAGGCCTTTCCAATCACCTAGCTAGGCGTTGTGTCCTCTGTGCTCCTGTTGTACCTTCTGTTTGCCTTTCATAAGGCTTCTCGTCATATCACATTGCATATTTTTGTCTGTGTGTCTTTGGTACCAAGAACGCCTCAGGTGCTCGGTGAACATCGGACAAACAGATGAGGCAGGAGTCAAAGATATAGTCCATGAACTTTCATCTTTGTATCCACAACAAAAGAAGGAAAGAAAGAAAAAGGAGCCTGGCCCATGGTAGGTGTAGAGAAAACACAGAGAGGGATGAAAGAATGAAGAAAAGCAGGAAGGAGATGACAATCAGGCAGAGGATAGAAAACATGTTACAAGGTTAAGGCAATAAGCAAATAAAAATAAATAAACAAAGCCAATTCTACTAGGAATCCAGAAAATGGAAAGTGTAATGACTGAGGAAAGACCAGAAGACTTATGGAAGGAACATCATGGATTTGAGATGAATCTTGAAGCATGAGAGGGAATAGAATGGAAGAGAATGGAAATTGAGCCCAGTAAGCATGAGCAGGGCACGTTTGGGGATAAAGACATGTCAGTGGAACACCATTTCATTTCTCTTTGAGAGCTGTAAGGTGTGGCCCTGTGAGATATTACTACAACCCACTCTCTCTGATCTTCTTCCAGGAACTGGTGGTTGGTCCCCAGCAGATTCCAATGCTCAACAGTGGCTCCAGATGGACCTGGGAAACAGAGTGGAGATTACAGCAGTGGCCACGCAGGGCAGATATGGAAGCTCTGACTGGGTGACGAGTTACAGCCTGATGTTCAGTGACACAGGACGCAACTGGAAACAGTACAAGCAAGAAGACAGCATCTGGGTAGGACATCTTTTCTCTTCTGGTGAATAAAACTGAGATGTGGTAATGGTAACCAGTGAGCGTTTCTATCATTTTCCTATACCCAGATTGTTGGTAGCTTAGGAACTATTGAGTACCCATTCAGAAATAATTAGACCGTATATGGGTCCTATCTCCAGCATGGCTCTCGTTCGAAGGGAAATTAGGATGTCTGTTGCAAAAGTTTAGTGTTTTCCTCCTCTTCTGGTAACTTGAGTAATTCACTGACTAGGCCTCAGTTCCTTCGTCCATAAAACCAGAAGTATGCTACAAGACTCTGATTGTTAGTGACAATGTATTGATTTATTGAGTAGTATTTACTCACTTGTTTATTATGTACCAAGCTCTTTGCACACTTTGTAGTGCCCCAACTAGCTCAGTTATGTAATTTGACTGATATTGCACAATTCGTAAATCTTGGCATTAGAATCTGTAATCAGGTCTGACATTGAAACCGCTGTGCTCAACAGCCTCTATCAAGATTTAAAAGGAATGAAAGTGTTTAAAAATACAAGGCAACTACAAACTGTAAACTCATTCTGTCTTTATAAATAATCAGCAGCTAGGAAGCGAAGGAAAGTTTTCTCCAAGTTGTGAAAAAGAACTTTCCTTCCCTACCGCAAGGCCCAACCTCTTGACCTTCTCTTGTTAGTGAAAGGCTGAGGTTAGAAAGGGAGAGCACATAGCAAGAGGTATCTGGAGGAAGCTTTAGAAACTCATGCACTGGATTAAAAAAATGTATTCATTTGCGTTGCTTACAATTTAGGGAAAGACATATCCAAATATTTATTTTTCTCCCAATGTGCATAAAATGTGAAGATTTGACAATTGATAGAATTATCTTTCTCATAATCTCCCTACATGTTTTTCCCGTGAAATTAATTCCAAGTTTGTTTTCAAACTGGTATTGGTCTACATTTGTCTGTGTTGGCCCTGCTTTGTTGGCAAAAAAAAATTTTTCCTATTTTATGTTTATTGCTTTTTGCTAACCTCCTACTAATCAATATTGCTAATTGAAAATAATAGTAAACTGAGGATTAAGATTAGTCATGAACAGATTGCATCTTGAGAATAGTATTATTATCATCTTTATTCTGGGTTGCCTATAATATTACGTTGAATTATTTTCAGAAAGCATGTGTTTTCTTCATTTTAAAAATAGGCTTTTGGGGACTATTCTATTTTTTCACTCAATTTTGAAGCCCCTATACAATTTTACAGGTTTTTTTTTTTTTTTTGCTTCCTTTTATTTTGCTTTTAGTTCGAAAGGAGAAATAATCACACCTTCCATTTTGAGGAAGTTTTAAGGTTTTATGTTGACTTTAGAGGGACTAAGAGATGTGGGATTACTTATTTTCTTTGGCATGTTCAATCAGAACTGGTCGTTTCTCAGAATGAATTGGAGTTTTGAGTTATTTTTTGTCTAAATATTTTTATTAAAGTGTAATCGACATGCAATATTATATTCATTTCAGGTATACGACCTACAATTCAACATTTGTGTACCTTGCAAAATGGTCACCATAATAAGTCTAGTTACTGTCTGCCACCATACAGCATTATTGTCCATTAATATTATAGTCTATATTCTCCAAGCCGCACATTACATCCCCGTGACATCTTTATTTGATATCCAGATTATTTTACTTCTTGATCTTCTTCACCCATTTTGTCCATACCCCAAGCCCCTCCCTTTTGGCAACACCAATCTTTTCTCGGTACCTCTGAGTCTGGGTTTCGTTTGTTCTGTTTGTTTGCTTTGAGTTTTATATTCTACATGTAAGTGAAATCATGTGGTATTTGTCTTTCTATGACTGACTCATACTACTTAGCATAACTCCCTCATGGTCTGTCCATGTTGTTGCAAATGGCAAGATTTCCTTCTTTTTTTATGGCTGAGTATTATTCTTCTGTGTGTGTGTGTGTGTGTGTGTGTGTGTGTGTGTGACATCTTCTTTATCCATTCATGCACTGATGGACACTTAAGTTGTGAGCATACGTTGGCTATTGTAAATAATGCTGCAGTGAACATACGGGTGCATGTCTTTTTTGAATTAGCATTTTAATCTTTTTCAGATAGATAGCCAGTTGTGGAATTACTGGATCATATGGTCCTTCCTTTTTTAAATTTTTTGAGGAACCTCCATGCTATTTACTATAGTGGCTGCATCAGTTTGCATTCTCAACATCAGTGCATGAGAACTGCTTGTTCTCCACATCCTCGCCAACGCTTGTTATTTCTTGTCATTTTGACAATAACCATTCTGACAAGTGTAAAGTGATAGCTTATTGTGGTTTTGATTTTCATTTCCTTGATGATTAGTTATGTTAAACATCTTTTCATGTACCTGTTGTCTGTCTGTATGTCTTCTTTGGAAAGATGTCCATTCAGATTTTATGCCCATGTTTCAATCAAATTATTTTTATTGTTGCTGCCACTGTTGTTGAGTTGTATGAGTTATTTATATATTTTGAATATTAGCCTGTTATCAGATATATGATTTCCAAATATCTTCTCCCTTTCGGTAGGTTGCCTCGTGGTTTTGTTAATTTTTTTCTTTGCTATACAGAAGCTTTTCAGTTTAATGTCCTATGTATTTATTTTTGTTTTTTTGCTTTTGCCTTAGAGTCAGATCCAAAAAAATATACACACAACTGATTTCAAAGAGCTTATGTTCTATATTTTCTTCCAGGATTTTTATGGATTCAGGTATCTCCTTCAAGTCTTTAATCAATTTTGAGTTAATTTTTGTGTATGCTGTAAGATAGTGGTCCAGTTTCCTTCCTTTGCCTGTAGCTGTCCAGTTTTCCCAGCACCATTTATTGAAGACATCATCATTTCTCCATTGTATGTTTTTGCTCCTTTGTCATAAATTAAGACTCTCTATTTTGTTCCAGTGATCTATGTGTCTGTTTTTATGCCAATACCATATTGTATTTTGATTACTATAAGTTTGTAGCTATGGTTTGAAATCAGGAAACATGATGCCTACAGCTTTGGTCTTCTTTGTCAAGATTGTTTTGGCTATTTGGAGTCCTTTGTGGTTCCATATAAATTTTAGAATTCTTTCTTCTACTTATATGAAAAATTTCATTGGAGTTTTGATAGGGATGGTGTTGAATCTGTAGATTGCTTTGGGAAGGATGGACATTTTAACAATAGTTATTTTTCTAATCCATAGCATGACGTATCTTACCATTTATTTCTGTCCTCAAAATCTTTCACTGGGGTCTTATAGTTTTAAATGTACAAATCTTTAATCTCCTATGTTAAAATTTTTACTAGGTATTTTATTCTTTTGGATGCAATTGTAAATTGGAGTTTTTTTTTTTTATTTATCTTTCTGATACTTTTACAGTGTGTAGAAACATGACAGATTTTTTCATATTGATTTTGTATTCTGTTACTTTACTGAATTCATTTTTAGATCTAACAGGTATTTTTTTGGTGGAGTCTTTAGGGTTTCTTATATATAGTATCAGGTCATTTGCAAATAGTGACCATTTTGCTTCTGCCTGTCCAACTTACACCTTTTATTTATTTTTCTTGTTTAATTGCTATGGCTACAATTTGCAATACTATGTTGAATAAAAGTGGGGGGAGTGGACATCCTTGTCTTATTCCTGATCTTAGAGGAAAAGGTTTCAGCTTTATACTGTTGAACATGGTATTACCTGTGGGTTTGTCACATATGACCTTGATTATGTCCAGGTACATTCCCACTATACCAGTTTTTTCAGAGTTTTTATCATAAGTTGATGTTGAATTTTATCAAATGCATTTTCTACATCTATTGAGATGATCATATGATTTCTACCTTTCACTTTTGTTAATGTGGTATATTATATTGATTGACTTGTAGTTGTTGAATCTTGTATCCCTGTAATAAATCCAGCTTGATAATGGTGTATGATTCTTTTAATGTATTGTTAAATATGGTTTGGTAACATTTTGTTGAAGACTTTTACATCTATGCTCATTGGGGATATTGGCCTATAATTTTCTTTTTTTTTTTTTTTTAATTTTTTAAGGTTTATATATTTTTGAGAGAGAGAGAGAAGAGAGAGACAGAATACGAGCAGGGAAGGGGCAGAGAGAGAGGGAGACACAGAATCCAAAGTAGTCTCCAGGTTCCAAGCGGTCAGCACAGAGCCCAATACAGGGCTCAAACCCACGAACTGTGAGATCGTCACCTGAGCTGAAGTCGGGCATTCAACCGACTGAGCCACCCAGGCGCCCCAGCCTACAATTTTCTTTTTTGTGTTGTCTTTGTCCAGTTTGGGTATAAGAGTAATGCTGGTTTCTTAAAATAAGTTTAGAAACATTCCTTCCTATTTATATTTTTGGAAATTTGAGAGTAGGTATTAAATCTTTGAATGTTTGGTACAATTAACCAATGAAGCCATCTAGTTTGTTGGGAAATTTTTGATTACTGATTCAATCTCCATAATAGTATTTGGTCTATTCAGATTTTCTATTTCTCCATAATTCAGTCTTGGAAGATTCTAAGTTTCTAGGAATTAATCCATTTCTACCAGGTTGTCCAGTTTGTTGGCATGTAATTGTTCATAGTAGTCTTTTGCAATCCCTTTTATTTCTGTGGCATGAGTTCTAACTTCTCTTTCATTTCCGATTTTATTTGACCCCTCCCCCCTTTTTGGTGCTGAGTGTAGCTAAAGTTTTGTCAATTTCAGTTATCTTTTAATTTCATTGATCTTTTCTATTGGTATGTTTGTTTATTTGTTTGTTTTTCATTTTTATTTCACTTATTTCCACTCTGATCTTTATTATGTCCCTCTTTCTACTAATTTTGGGCTTTGTTTCTTCTTTTTTTCTAGTTTCCTTTAGGTACAAAGTTAGGTACAAAGTTTATACCTTTAGGTACAAAGTTAGGTACAAAATTCATTTGAGATTTCTTTGTTTCTTGAGGTAGGTCTGTCTTGCTATGAATTTCCCTCTTAGAATTGCTGTTGCCTCATCC